AAGAGGCAGAGGCAGCCAGGCACCCTCTACTTCTGACGTAGGAAGCTACGATTCTTGCGGCCCAGTCATCCATTAAACTAGTTAGTCTGGGTCGACTAGAGAAACAACTTCATAGACACTCGTGTGTATAAGAAAGAGCTTTACATAAAAGAGCAATTGGATATTGAGAAAACATCCCAGCCCAGTCCAGATCAAGTCCATAAGTCTGATATTAGTCTATATGTCCCATACCAATCTATAAATTCCTCTTCAGACTCACGCAACACATACAATGATGCCGAATGCAGGAAGATCACGGGTCAGTGGGTGGAAAGTCTTATGGATCCAGTGGCAGTGAAAGCATCTCAGTGATGGCATGGGTCTCCACATGGCTCCTCCAGCTCCAGGGCTCTGGCTATATCAGTGTATCTCCATGTGGCTTGTCAACAGGAAAGTCTCGCAGGGAGAGTGTGTCCCACCTCCAGGGAGAAAGAGGAGTTCCCAGAATCCTCCCAAGAAGACCATGCCCACACAGAGGCCTCGTTGGCTGCGACCTGATTGACAGGCTAGACTCCACCCCTTCACAAGTTGAGAGATTATGTGACTGTCACAAACTAGTTGTTTCTGCGCATTTCTTATTTTCTTCACTCTTCTTTGCTCTGGTTGGGAAGCGAGCCGTAGTTGCATCCGTAGATGGCTACTCACATGTTTTTGACTCCGGTCACTACTTGCTAAAGTGGCATGTAGAGCAGTGTCTCTGATATTGGCTCTATGATGCAACTAACCTGCTGTCCCTGAGATTATAGTCCTGAGCCACCAAGCTCAGTGGCTCCTTCCCGCAAGGTGTCAGAATTGATTCGACAGCAGTGCATTTGTTTGTTTTCTTGCTTAAATAAGTTTACATAACTCTGCCTTGTGTTTTTTCTACTATGGTAGGAGGGGGGTTTCATAATTCATAGAAAAATTCCATTATCTTTTCATTTACTTTTTCCATGAACTTCTCAAAAGGCCCCTCTTATATTTATGTATTTGTAGCACCTATAAACACATCTCTAGAAAAGTCCTCTGTCAAACCTAGCTGTGTTCCTGAGTGCGGGCCCATTTGCCTTTACAGCCTTGTGCAGCTTCAGTGCCAAGCTGCACCCAGTAACAGATTAGTACTAGTGTCACTGCAGGATTGTGTGGAAGTCATCATTAGCTTTGTTGTCTGGGGCTCTGTGCTCTCCCCAGTCTCTTTCTTTTCCTGGATCACTTTGCCACAGAACTATGAGCATGCCTGAGCTCAGAAACTAAGCAGGCTCGGACCTGGTTCATACTTGAATGGGAGATCACCTGGAAATAGCAGATGCTATAGGCTTTATTTAGGAGCCCTGATAGCATGATGGGTTACATATTGGCCTACTAACCCTCAGGTCCACAGTTCAAACCCACTAGCCACTTCCAGGGAAGAAAGATGAGGCTCTCTGCTCCCATGAAGATGGACAGCCTTGGAAACCCACAGGAGTGTTTCTACTCTGCCTTTTACTATGAGTCAGAACCAACTTGATGGTTGGTTTTTCGCTTCTCCTTATTGTATATTGCCTTTTCCTTCACTCAAGTTCATGTATGTCTACTATCTGGTATTGATGTGGGTAAGCATTATTGGACTGCCAACCACAAAGCCAGCAGTTCAACCCACTAGGTGTGCTTTGGAAGAAAGATGAAGTTATCCGCTCCAGTAAAGACCCAACCACCTCGGAAACCCTCTATAGGGTGGCTAGGAGTCAGAACGGACCCGGTGGCAATAGATTTTACCCTCTGGCTAATGATGTACTCGTTTCTGCTCCCACCCAATAACCTTGAAGGAATGTTTCTTTCTGGGTATAAACCTTTTCTTGACTTTTTACATTAGGCATCTCATAAAACTTTGGCCCTTATGTGATGGATTTCACAGTATCCTCCAGGTACAGGGGTTTCACGGCATCGTGCTTGGGTAGCATTCCAGGGTGTGTAGAGACCAGAGGTGGTTTATCCATTCTTCCCTTGATGGGCTCTGGTGAACAGGGCTGCCATGAACATGAGTGTGCATATCTATGCCTGTTCATCTCGCAGCTCTTATTTCCTCCCATTTTAAGGATAGACTTACAAAAGCATGGCACCAAGTCAAGAAGGAACTTACTCCTTGCTAGGT